TATCATATTATAAAAATCTTACTTTATCTTTTAGTTTTTTTCTAAAAATAATACAAGTAAATTTATAAATAATTTTCAATCCTTAATTTTTTTTTAAAAAAAAAGTCAAAAAATGACTGTTATGAGATAGATGAAGTACAATTTATTTTCCTTTTATCTCTATCTCTTTCTTAAGGGTGATATAATTAAACATTTCATCTATTTAACTTTAATAGATTTAATTTTTACTTCCTTTATTTAAAAATAATAGATATTGTTTTATTTTATTTTTAAATTAAAGATTTAAGAAAAATGTTTATTTTTACCTATTTTACTTTTAATAAAAGAAATAAAAATAAATAAACTTTTTCATAATATGATGGATTTTTTTTTTGAACAAATTCGCAAAGGGTCGGATTCGAACTGTTGCCCTGAGGACGGGGGAATGCACTTATGTGTGGTCTAACGCCACTGAATCCGAAGGTTCAAGTGCATAATAGGATAAATTATTAAAGTTAATAGATAATTATAAATTTATAAGGTTAAAGTAAGAAAAGAATATTTGTCTCCCTTACAATATGAAAAAATGACTATTATTTTGATACAATTTTTAAATAAAGAAATTTCTATTATTTTGAAATAGAGAGAATAATTTGGGAATTTAAAATTTTATTGCTATTTTTCCTTATTAAGATGTTATTTAATGCGCTTATTCCTATTTTATCTTTATTTTTAAAATATAATTACAATATACATTAAATAAGAAGGTTATTTATCATTGATAAATACTCCCTAACATTTTTTTTACCAGATTGAGGATTTGAAAACAATTCATGTATTTACTTATATTATCTTTAAGAAAAAGCTAAAAGGGAAAAATATTTTCCTATGTTAAAAGATAAAAAAAATATAATTAATTTGAGACAAATTTAAAATAAAAAAATCGATAGTTATTTTGGAACGGAGGAAGTATGAAATTTTATCATTTAATTATTACATTCATTTTTATTGAAAAATAAATAAATTTACTAAAGTTGAATACATAAACTGTTTGCAAATTCTTAATGACTAAAAAAAGTTTAAAAAATTAGTTATTTGAAAAAAAATACTAAAAGTATTTAGTAAAGGTAAAATTAAGACAAAATATTTAATGCATTTACAAAAATAAAAAATGTAATCACTAAACATGAACATCTTTATTTGGGAAGTGAGTGTGTAACAACTAGGTGTGCTAGAGAATATTCTTTAATACTACTAAAACCCTATTGCCATATTTTTCTATGGACCTAATGCAAGTGGCAACAATTGGAACCCCTTTGCCATAACAAGCTTTGAATTACCAAGGCTTCCAACTCATGATATCCCCCAAAAAGAAATGAGATTAAACGCCCAAACAAAGAGAGCAAAACACCCGAATTGTTGTTGTTGTTTGAGGACATGGATGATTTAGAGACGGCACTCAACCACCACCACCACCACCACCACCACCGAAGGCCAGCTCATGGGCATGGTGAGCCATATCCACCTTTTTGGGTGAGATGTGTCACTGCCACGTGTATGGACAGATAAGTTATCTCATTGGCTGGGGCTCTGCCACGTGTTTAGGCAACGAACCCACCCATATGTGCCTCCGCAACTGGCTTCCCGGTGTTTGCCTACGTTTCCAATACCCCATGTTCAATCCACGCTCCTACCTTGCGCGTATAGCTTATTTTCCCAATTTCCCTAAACTTGAAGAAAACCACCCCGTGTATATATATAATATAAGGTGGTGATATAGAAATAATTTTTTATATCATATTTTTATATAATTTTTATATATTATTAAATAAATAAATATATTTA